AGTAATATGAAATTATAACCTACCCAAAGTATTGAATGAATATCCTTGAGTTCATACTAATATAAATAGATGACATGTTTAAATAATAAATAAGGAAGCAAATAGGGGAGAACAGACAAATCTCTCATGAGAAGACTTCCAAATGCATAACTTATGTAGATTTTTCATTCCGAAGGAGGTGAATATAATACCCACTCAAGTGTGAACTTGTCATAGTGATTTCCTGCCAAAAAGTACAGTATGGAAAGAACTTTTTAAAAGTTAAATAAGCAACATTAGAGTACAAGGTCTATGTCAGTCACATGATCAAGATCAACAACAGGGATACAGCATGTTAACAGTGTGTGCCCTGTAAACAATGTGATAAGAATGGCACTTTTCCTCTGCAGTCTTACTCCCAAAAATCCCATAACCAAGTCTAATTTTGAGAAAAATATCCAAAAAAGTCCTAATTGAAGAACCAACAAAATCAGTACTTTTCAAAACTGATTATTAAGATCAGATTATTATTAGGGCCAGAGATTTAGTTCAGTGGCACTGCACCTGCCTTGCAAGAGCAAGGTCCTGAGTTCAATCCCTGGTACCAGAAGAAAAAAAAAAGATCAGATTATTATTAAATGAGGAAAGTCTGAGAAATCATCATAGTCAAGAGGAGCCTAAAAAGATATGACAACTAAATGTAATTATGTGATGTCCTGAGTGTGATCTTGGAAGAGAAAAAGGATTAATGAAATCTGAATTAAGCATGGACTAATTAATAATAATACAATAATATTGTTTCATGAATTATAACAAATATACCACACAAATGTAAGATGTTAATGACAGAGAAATTTTGTGTTGTGTATACTACCTTTGCAATTTGTCTATAGATCTAAATGATTCTAAAATTTTTAATTTATCAAAAAATAATGCACTCAACAAGATTAAAATCAACATTAAAAAGTCAAGAACTTTTCTATACACCTATTGTTCATACATTATTATAAACTACATGAGAAAAATCAGGAAAATTATTCCGTTCACATACACCCCCCAAAAAAATACCTAGGGATCACACTAACCAAGGAAGTCAAAGATCTCTAAAATGAAGATTACAGAAGACTGAAGGAAGAAATTGCAGAAGACACTAGAAGATGGAAAGGCATCCCATGTTCATGGATTAGCAGAATTAATAGTATTAAAATGACCACATTACAAAAAGCAATCCACAGATTCAATGCAATCATTATCAAAATTCCAGTGACATTCTTCACAAAACTAGAAAAACAATCCTAAAATTCATATGGAAACACAAAAGACCTAGAATAGCTGAAGTAGTCCTAAGCAAAAAGAGCAAGGCTAGAGGATCACAATACCCAATTTCAAATTATACTACAAAACAACACAGTACTACAAAATATACTGCAAAATACTACTACAACAATATTCTGCAAAGTAACAAAACAGCATGGTATAAAAGTAGACACATAGACCAATGGAATAGAACAGAGAACACAGGAACAAGCCCATACAACTACAGCCATCTGATTCTTGAGAAAGGAGCCAAAAATATACCTTTGAGAAAAGACAGCCTCTTTAACAAATGGTGCTGGGAAAACTAAATATCCACTTATAGACGATTGACTTTAAATCCTTATCTCTCATCCTGTACAAAAATCAATCTAGAATGGATCAGAGAATGATGTAAGATATGAAACTTTGAAACTATAGAAGAAAACATAAGAGAAACACCATAAGGACAGGGAAGGACATCTTGAATAGGGTTCCAGTAGCCCAAGAAATAATAAGAAGAATCAACAAATGGGACTACACTGAATTAAAGTTTCTACGCACCATGGGAAAAAGCTAACAGAGTGAAGATACAGCCTACAGAATGGGAGAAAGTCTTTGCTACTCTTCAAAAGAGAATTGATATCTAGAATATATAAATAACTCAAAAAATCAAATAGCCCAATCAATAAATGGACAAAGGAAGTACACAGACACTTCTCAAAAGAAGTATAAATGTCCAATAAGTATATGAAAAAAATGTTCAACATCTTTAACCATTAGGGAAACACAAATCAAAACTACATTGATTCCATTTCATCCCAGTCAGAAAGGCTATCATCAAGAATACAAAAAATAGGGTCTGGGATTTAGCTCAGTGGGTTGGCCGCTTGCTGTGCAAGCGCAAGGACCTGAGTTCAATCCCCACTACCAAAAGAAAAAGAATACAAAAAATAAATGCTTGTGAGGATGGGGATGGGGGCTCTTCTTCTACCCTGTTATAGGAAGGTAAAGTGTTGTAGCCCCTATGATGGTTAAGCTTAATTTGCCAACTTGATTGGCTTGGGAGCCACCTAGGAAATTAGTAAAGCATACTCTGCATGCCTAGATGTGTCGTCGAGGTATGACCTTGGCGTCTATGTCTAATGCCTGGCCTCTTCCTCTCTTGCTCCACCATCCACTTCATATTTTTGTTCTGGAGCCACCCAACCATAGACTAAAGTCTATGAAACCATAAGCAAAAATAAACCCTTCCTCCTTTAAAGTGTATATATCAAATCTTTGATCTCAGCAACAGAAAGCTAATACAAGGCCCCTAGGAAAATCAGTATGGAGGTTTCTCAAAAACCTAAAAGTGGAGTTACCATTTGATCCTCCTATGCTACTCCTTAGTGTATTCCTCAAGAAATTAAAGTCAGCATACTGGAAGCATACCTACATATCCATGTTTATTGGGGCACAGTTCACAGTAACTAAGGTACATAACCAGCCTAGTATGCATCAACAGATGAATGGGTAAAGAAAATGTATATATACAAAATGGAGTATTATTCAGCCATAAAGTATATTAGAATTTTGTCATTGGAAGGAAAATGGATAAAACTGGAGTCATCATGTTAACCAAAATAAGTCAGACTCAGAAAGACAAGTATTGTGTGTTTTCTCTAGTATGTAAAATATAAAAAACTGACATCAGATGAGACTTACTAGACAAGAGGATAGGAATAAAAAAGGGGTAGGTACAAGGGAAGGTAATGAGATAGATATCAAAATATATATACATTGAAAAAATATTTTATAAAATTAATAGACAATAAAAAATAATGTATTTGAGTAAAACGAAGTGAATGTGTGTCACTTCCATCCAGTGGTAGGACATTATCAGCAACTAGAAACCTCTTGTTTCACTTCTCAATTGTGTCACCACCTTTTGCCCTAGAGAAAAATCCATACTAATATGAATTTTATGACATCCTTTTTTTATAGTATTTCCACTAAGTTGCTTCCCTAAAGAGTATTAAGTAGTTTTGCCTTGTTTTGAAATTTACATTTACATAAATTCAATCATACTATGTGTATTTTTTTCGTGTCTTGCTTAAAATTTATCTATGTTGCTGCATGTAGTTAACTGTTCCTTTTTCATTTTCATTTTCATTGCTGTATAGAATTGCATTGTATAAATGCACCAAAATGTATATATGTTTTACTGTCATTGGACATTTTAGTTGTCTCTAGTGTGGAACTCTGAAAAGGATTTTCTGACCATCAGACTTGTAAGACCCTAAAATTTGATATGTCTTTTAGATTTTTTTAAAAAATAGACATTTCTGAAGGGAAGGGCAAAAGGAGCTACTCTTTGAATGGAGGAATGGTGGTCTTGTTCAAGGGTCACAGTCTACACAAAGAGGAGCCAGGGCTGCTGCTCATGGCTTGCCAAGAGGCAGTAGGCTGCCCCCAGTGCCTCAAGACAATGAAATCCTTCCTTCCCAGAGACACATGGACCAGCTCCTTTACCATGTTATCCACCACTTTGCTAGTGATGTCTGTGGTCAAACCATAGAAACCTTGATCTTAGTAACAACTTCTTATGCTTTTACAGAAAATGAATCTCTTGCCTAGATGGCCAGTTAGAATGGAGGCAGTAATGTCTCCCTCACCTTCTCCACAGATCCTCCTGGTAATGCAGGTACCTGACTCAAGGAAGGAACTTGCTAAACTTTCCAAGCAGATGAATATGAGTATATGGAGAGAGAGAGAGAGACAGAGATAGAGACAGAGACAGAGACAGAGAAAACATATAAGGTTGAGTCAAGGTGACCTGTCCTTGTTTATCTGGCCACCATGACCATATTTCCCACTGAATACCTTTAAACAAATCATAGATAGATAGATAGATAGATAGATAGATAGATAGATAGATAGATTTTGTGTGTGTGTGTGTGGTACCAGGGATCAAACTCAGGACCTTGCACTTACAAGGCAGGCGTGGTGCTACTGAGCTAAATCCCCAGCCCACAAATCATATTTTTATCAGTGGTACTTCTCAGGTTAGCATATTACATCTTTTTTTTTTTTTTTTTTTTGGTACTGGGGATCAAACTCGGGAACTTGCACTTGCATGGCAGGTGCCAGAAACACTGAGCTGAATCCCCGGCCCTACATCTTATTTTTGTCTAGTTTAGCCTAAGTATATTTGAGTCATAACTTTTGTTTATGGTTTAACTGGAAGGCAAAGAACCCTAGTAATCTTGGGCTCAGGAGTTAGACCAGAATCTCATCTTGGCTAGGCCTCGTATGAGCTGGGTAACCTGCACTTCACCCTTCTGAACCTCAGTTTCCTCACAAGTGAAAAAAAGAATAATAAACTTACTTTATAAGAAGGAATGATTTAGTACAAAAGTGTATTCAAAGTACTTAACATGATTTCTGTCACAAGAGAAAAAATTAATGTATAATGAAGATTATTGTTGTTGACAATTATACAATAATTCACCTACTAATTCCTTTCTTATGCATAATATAATATTTTCTTCCAAATATAAGATTGTAGAATTCTGTTATTAAAATTACCCTGTGACATTTGGCATTTTATATTTCCCATGCTAATTGGAATATATAGCAGGATGAAAAATGAAGTCCAATGTGAGTGACATTGCTTTGGATTGCTTTGGATTAGTCTCCCTTCTGGTTATAACACACATGACCAGATTTATGTCTCTTTCCATTAGGTTTATAATTGGAGATTTGCTGGATTCAGAAAATGACATCTTTGAGCAGTCCAAAGAATGCGACCCTCATGGGTCGGAGGAGTCACAGAAAGCCTTCAACCATGGGACAGAGCTCATCCCATGGTACGTGTTGTCCATCCAAGCTGATGTGCACCAGTTCCTGCTGCAGGGGGCTACAGTCATCCACTATGACCAAGACACACATCTCTCTGCTCGCTGTTTCCTGCAGCTTCAGCCTGACAATAGTACATTGACTTGGATGAAGCCCCCCACTGTCTCCCCAGCTAGTGCTAAAGTAAAACTTAGTATGCTCAGTAACACAGCTGAGCCTGGCAAATTCCCATTACTGAGCAATGCTGGATTAAGCAGCCTGACAGAGGGGGTCTTAGATCTGTTTTCAGCAAAGGCTGTGTACATGGGACACCCTGGTATTGATCTACACACTGTGTGTGTTCAGAACAAACTGGGTAACATGTTTCTGTCAGAGACTGGTGTGACTCTGCTCTATGGACTTCAGACCACAGACAATAGATTATTGCATTTTGTGGCACCAAAGCACACAGCTAAGATGCTCTTCAGTGGATTGTTGGAACTCACTAGCGCTGTGAGAAAGATGAAGAAGTTCCCTGACCAACGACAGCAGTGGTTGCGGAAACAATATGTCAGCCTCTACCAGGTAAGGGGAGTAGCATCTCTCTCTCTCTTGAGTAGTGGGATCCCCAAGAGTACACACTGGGCACTCCCAGCTCCACCAGTTCCCAGCTCTGCCACTTACTACCTGTGTGATCTTTTTTTTTTTTTTTTTTTGAACAGAAGACGGCATACGAGATCCTGGTAGGTGACTGGAGTTCAGACGTGTGCTCTTCCGATCT